TTCCCTCATCGGTAAGATGGGAACAGCTAGCATCATGTAAAGAATGAGGTCTGTGCCTCTTCCATCCCTCTCTGGGTTTCATGTAATGTTTAATGGATTTCACTGACTTTTTTTTTTTTTTTTAACTAAACTCTGTAGTAAAAAGATAGATAATCGCAATTATTTTACCATTCTTTCCTATTAATTCTAAATTATCTAGTAAGTCGGAAGAAGAAATGTGTGCTTAAAGTAACACTTATAATTCACAAATCTACCCCTAAGTTCAAGTGTAGACTTAGATTATCAATGAGGCACTGAAAATTTACTAGAGAGGCGAAATGTTTTAACCAAAGGTGCTCAGTTATAAAAATAACAAACCAGTCTAGCCCACCACCTTCAGAATTCTACACAGGACCAAAATTCCGAGCTTCTTTCTTCCCTATATGCAAATAAATAGCCAACTTTAGACAGTCTCTCTGCTCTCTCACCATTAATCAATTACCTTGCTTCCATAACGTCAGCAGAGGGGGGAAAAAGTAATGTAAATACTATTATTATTTCCCTATATTTCTACAGAGAGACGGTCCTCTAGAAGTGGTAAGATCACACCTAGAATTGCAATAATACAAGACTAGGGAGAATGTTTTTTTTTGTTTGTTTGTTTTGTTTTTTGGTTTTTCTCCGGTACCAGGAATCGAACTCACGACCTTGCGCTTGCAAGGCAGGCGCTTTTGCCGCTGAGCTAAATCCCCAGCCCAGGGAGAATGTTTTTAATGAAAGCTATAAAATTAATACAGCTCCTTCTAAATTAGGTACTCACATGAAGAATTACTCTGAAAATAGGAGCCTTGGTTTCGAGTTATATGGCCTCTAAAGTAAAAAAGTTATATATACCCACGATAGTACAACAGAATCCTCACACTAGGTGGGGGGTGTTCCTCTCGCTAACGTAATTTCTTTCAAGAAAAAGAATGCCTGTTATGTCCACAATTCAAAAATGAAGACTCCAAGCCCAGCCTGGGCAACTTAGCAAGACTATCTCAAAATAAAACACATAAATTGAGCATGGTGGCAGGCCTATTACCCCAGCACTCGGCAGGCTGATGAAGAAGGGTAATTTCAAGCTCCAGGTCAGCCCCAGTGACGTAGTGAGTTCAAGGCCAGCTTGAACTACACTGGGAGACCCTGTCTCAAAAAATGAAACACAAAGCAGAAAAGGGAGAGCAAAAGGAGGAGGAGAAAGAAGAAGAAAGAAAAAGAAAAGAAATAGGACTGGGCGTGTAGCTCAGGGGTAGAGTGTCTGCCTGGCATGCAAGAGGCCCTGGGTTCCATCCCCAGCATAACAACTAAAAGAAAGCAACACAACGCCAAGCGGGCAAGCAGACCATGTGCAAAGTTTTAAGGAAACCACATTTACTTAAACAGCAATAAAGCCATTAGAAATTAATTTAGTGGGCGGCGTAAGTATGACTAATAAACTCGACATGCTTTAGTTTAAGAGAAAAATGTTCAGTACACTGCTCTGAATAAACCCCTAGAAACCAGCAGTTAAGCATGATGAATTTGGGTGGCTACTTTTCCCGCAAACAGCCATACTGGGGAAGCAGAGACCCTAACAGCTCAGCTGTCCGCGGCCCCCCTCCGCCTCACCCCACCTCATTCCCGGCTTCCACGCCTTCGGCTTCCTCCCTCCGAGGCCCAAAAGGACTCAGAACACCATGTCCGTACTCGGCAGCAAGGGACTTTCTTGTCCTCATTCCCTACACAACAGTGAGGCGGGGACGCAGACCTCATCTCGTTGGATCGGTGTAATGCCTGACGCCCAGTGTGCGGCAGGATGTGGCGCGGCACAGGCAGCACTGCCCTGGTTGCCACGAGCGACCTGAGCACCCGTGGGTGTTGGCACCTGCGGAGCAGTCTCAGAACCACTCCCCACAGACACTGCGGGCCAGCTGGGACAGGAAAACACGAAACACCTGCACTCCGACAAGTGCGTGCCTTCAAGAGTCACAGCTTCACGCTCCCTGTCTTTCCTGAAACCACGACGTGTCAGGGAAGGCAGGGTGAGGAGCAGGCCACGCTTACCTCGTCGCACCTGCTCCATGCGATCCCGCAGCTGAACCACCAATGCCTTCATCTGCTCATAGTTCTCCTACACAGAAACGGGATGAGAGAGACAGGAATATTAGGCAGCAATGATCTCCACCAAGTGAGGGTCGGGAAGCCCCACGTGTTATGCCAGCCCTCCGGGGCCTCCCTGGCTGGGAAGATGAATTCCACCCACCACTTCCACCCACCACTTGCACCCTCGGCCCTGTCCAGGCTCACAGGCTCCTACAGCCCAATTCTCACCTTCCTGGACCAGGGATATATACCTCTGCAGCACAAGTGCCTGCCTGGCAAGCATAAGGTCCTGAGTTCGATTCCCAGTACCACCCCCCCCAAAAAAAACAATTCTCACCGCCCAGCCTCTCCTCTTTCAGCTACTCCTATCCACTTTAACATCTTTCTTCTTTCAACATCTGCTCAGCCCGATCTCTACTTGTTTTCCCTTTTTTAGGGAATATAAGCTCTCTGAGAGTTAGAAAGTCACTTTATATTTCCTGGCCTAAAACTCCAACCAGCACAGATGTACTTGCTTACTTACACATGGCACTTAAACACCAAGCCAAGGGAGAAAAATACGTCCCACTTTATGTTTCAAAAAGACAAAACTTAAGGCCAGAGATACAGCTCAGCGGCACAGCGCCTACCTGGCAAGCTCAAGGTCATGAGTCTGATTCCCAGTACCAAACAAAACAAAACTAAATAAATAAATAAAAACTAAAAAAAAAGAAAATGAAAAAACTAAAGCCAGGCACAGTGGCACACGCCTATAAATCCCAGCATCTGGGCCAGGGCAGCAGAATCACAAGTTTGAGTCTTGTGTGGGCAACTTAGTGACTTAGCAAGATCTTGTCCCAAATTAAAACATGAAGGGCAGGGGCTGGGGATTTAGCTCAGCGGCACTGCACCTGCCTGGCAAGCGTGAGGTTGTTAGTTAGACTACCAGTACCGGGAAGAAAAACAAACAAAACAAAACAAAAACACAACAAAAAAAAAACATAAAGGGCTGAGGCTGGAGTTCAGTGCGAAGAGCCTGGGCTCAATCCCCGGCATCACAAAAAAACAAAAACAGAGCACTATACTTGCGTGTGTTTGGAAATTTTCTCTGTCTCTCTTTTTTTTTTTTTTTCTGGTTCTTTTGACCCAGGGTCTCACTCTGTGTTCAGGCTGGCCTTAAACTTACTATGTAGGCGAGGGGTGGGGTGAGACGGAGGGGGGCCGCGGACAGCTGAGCTGTTAGGGTCTCTGCTTCCCCAGTATGGCTGTTTGCGGGAAAAGTAGCCACCCAAATTCATCATGCTTAACTGCTGGTTTCTAGGGGTTTATTCGGAGCAGGCTGGCCTTGGACTTGCAATCCTCCTGCCTCAGCCTCCTGAGTCCTGGGATCACAGGTGTGTGCCACCATACCTGGAAGATGTTCAGGGAATTTTCTAAATAATACACAAAAAAAATATAAACAGTGAGAAGTTAAAAAAAAAAAAAAGGTGGAGGAGACTCACTTCTCACCTCTGTATATTTAAATTTTGTTCGGTCAGCCTGTGACTTTAGAACAATATTTACATAGCTAATTTTTTGGGGGGCGGGGTACGAGAATCAAACTCAGGGCCTCACATTTGCCAGGCAGACACTGTGCCACTGAGCTACATCCCCAGCCATAGCTAATTATTTTCTAAATTCAATCTGTCCCACTAACGTGTGGTTCCCAGGAATGCCACTAACACCTCTGGTTACTTAGTTCTGTTTCTGTGGCAAAATGCCAGTTTCCTGGCACGATTCAGTCTTTACGGTGCGGTTTCTCGTCTCCTACACCTCTGACAGCTCCACGGTTTCTGCCACATTCTCGCTCTGTGGGACCCACAACACAGAAGCGACACGGAGCTCAGGGACAGACCTGTGCCAGGTGGGAAGGGGCACCCCGGGCTGCCCCACCTGCACCTGGGAAAGGCCCGAGGGGAGCTCGGCTCCCGCGGCCTAGAACAGCTCCCCAGCTCGGCGCCCGGGCCCCGCGGGAAGCTTCTGCTTGCTGTCTGTCCTTTTAAGACGGGGTTTCACTATGCAGCCCACACAGGTCTAGAACTCGCGGGGTTCTGCCTTCGCCTCTCAAGTGCCGAGTTTAAAAAAACAAAAAAAAAAAAACAAAAAAAACACCAAAAACATACAGATGCTTGGTCTTCGCCCCGGAAAGTCGGAGGCCACGGGCTGCAGGCCTGCGCTGGGCACTGGGGTTTCAAGGTTCCTCAAGTGACCCCAACCTGCACCCCAAACCGAGAAACGGCTTGCTGCCGCTTCCACGCTTCGTCACTCAGTGCAGACGGAGCAGACAACACAAAGCAAGGCTTTGGTGAGAGGCAAATGCCCCTCGCCACAGGGTCTTTTCCATATCACAACGGCAGAGAGGAAGCCGAGAACTCTGCTCTCCCAGGAAAGCCAGGCCGCGGGATCGCTTTCGTCCAGCGGCAAACACATGCTGTTCGCCTGACCACCAGCAGGTGGCGCCAGGGCGGCGCGGAGAAGTCACTTGCAAAGTAGGAGGAGACCTGACTGCCTTTCAGAGGCTCCAAGACAGGGCTTGGCGGGCAGGCGAGCCACAGCAAGGGCTGTGTCATCCAAGACAGCGCCAAGACCGGGCAGTACTGTTCTGACCCACACCTTGCAGCCCTCCGGGGAGCAAATGAGCGACTGCAAAGTGCTGAGGGAAAGGTAAGCAGATGTACTTCACTGCATAGGAAAACAGATTCTTTGTGCTTGTGCTTAAGATCCATTATTTCTACACTTACTCCAGGCTTAAAAACGCAAATGTCTAAATGCTCCGGGCTGGGCATACAGCTCAGTGGCACAGTGCTTACCACGCACACGTGAGGCCTAGGGTTCAATTCCTACTACCACGACAGACAGAGTGTTCTGAAAACTCCTGATTTTGCCAGGTGTTGTGGCACCTGCCTGCAATCCCGGCACTCAGGAGGCTGAGACAGGAGGACTGCTTGAGTTGAAGGCCAGTGAATTACACAGTGAGATTCTGTCTAAAAAAAATAAAATTTCTTATTTTAAGGATCGCTGTGAATGGGTGGGGGAAACAACTGTACTCTCCTCTTTGGTCCTGTTTAGCTTAACAGTACTAGAAAAGGAAAATAACAGGGTCGATTATTACAGACTCCAGGATTTCACTAAGTCTCACCTTCCCTGTGGTTTGCTGTTGTCACTTTCCCTACATCCTCACACACACACACAAAAGTAAGGAGCTGGTGTACTTCAATAATTATCTACAGATGGCCAAAGCTGTTTTCTTCCTGCCCTCCATCCTGAATAATTTTGAAAGAAAGCTTAGCTATAACACTCAGTATATAATTATGTCTGTATCTCCAAAAAAAAAGGATCATTCTCACACATCATCATCAAATATCCAGTTAGGGAAGACACATTCCCAACTGTCAGGTCTGTCTGCTATAGTTGTTTATTTACATAGGCTCCAGCATGGTAAAGGCCGTATGCTGCAAATGGCCAGGGTATTTCAAGGCTTTCCTACAATTCTTCCATCCCCTTTTCTTGAAATGTTCTCAGAGCCACAGTAGAGTGTTTCCCATGGTGTAAAAGGCACCCTTACAGCGTCCTTTAACAAGTTCTTCCTCCCTGACAGATCCAGAAACAGGAAACAGTTTGAGCTATTTCCTGGTTCACCCCAAGTCATGAAGACCTCCTGGCCGCCGCTCTGGCTGCCGTCCACCTCCTTGTCTCTTGCTGTCCTTCCAAACCTCAGGCGCCAGAGTGCAGAGCTGGTGAACAGTCTGCTTCCAAGGTTCAGGCACTCGTCAGAACGGACGCTGGTAGGCAGATCTTTACTTGTCTGAACCAGCCTCCCCACTAAGAAACAAGGGACACTGTCACTCACTGTCAAGGCCTCTAAAGGGCAGGGAGGTGGGAGAAGTGGGCAGAGCACATTACTGCCGAGGTGAGACGAGGAAGGGGACAACAGGACTTCCTTACCACCTCGATAAGCCTTTGTTTCTTCTGCTTTTACAGGTGTGTTTGCATCCAACTCACTGCTTATAGAGCAGGACATAAGGAGATCCTTTAACATCCAACAGGGAAGCCAGGCGTGGTGCCACACCCCTGTAATCCAGCACTTGGGAGGCTGAGGCAGGAGGATCACTGCATTCAAGGCCAGCCTGGGCTACATAGTGAGTTCAAGGCCAGCCTGAACTGCATAGTGAGACCCTGTCTCAAAAACAAAAACATCCAACAGGGAAAATTAATGAAATTGAGACTTAAAAAGCAGCACAAAGGATTCATGAATCATTTGTCTGAAAGGATGGGAAGGGGATGGATGGGGGACACAAGAGGGTGGGAAGGGAAGAAGAAAGGATCAAGATGCGATGTGTGTATGCATCAATTACCCAGGAGGAACGCATTTACTATGCATCACAAACATACTAATAAAAAAATTGAGAAAAAGAAAAAACTCAAACCTTCCTCACTCCCCTAATGCTGTTCATTATCAAAGGCACTGTTAGCTGCTAATCCATATCCCTTCTTCCTGTCTTCCCTGTGGCTAAATCCTAATTTCACACAGGGCAACAACATACCCAACTGGAAAAAGTAACATCCCCACCTCCTCCTGCAGATAGCAGGAGCCACGTGACTAAATTCTAACCAATGAAATACAGGCAGCTGTCCTAGCCCATGAGGTAGGGTGCACTGCTTGTTCAAAATTCTCCCAGCCGGGGTGATGGCACATGCCTGTCATCCCAGCACGTGGGAGACTGAGGCTGGATAATCGCTACAACCTTGAGACCAGTTTGGGCTACATAATGAGTTCAAGCCCAGCTTGAGCTGCATGGTGAGTCCCTGTCTCAAAAGAAAAACAAAAATCAAACAAATATACAAAATATAATAATCGGATTTTTGAAATGGACTTCACTTCAGGGACTCAACAGCAAAAGTGAGCAACCAAAACAAAGAATTAGGAAACTAAAAGAAAAGGCATGAAATGATAGAATCTAAGAAGCAAAAAAGAGAACCAAACAGAGCCTGGGGGCTTATAGGACACCA